TCTAGTAAGCAGTGGAGTCAGGATTTGAACTCAAGTCTGTCTGACTCCAGCCATGCTCTTAAGCACTGTGCTGGGCTCCTTGGTGTCTGTCAGTCCTCTGATGGAATCCTTACTTATTCGTACTTCTCCCAGAGCTGGAAATGAGATGCAAGAGACAGAAAAAGTGTTGAGAACAAAATTGAAATGCAGAAATCCTCCACCATTTGTTATGTACAAAGGAGATCCTAGTTAGTTTCTAGGAGTGGCGTGAGGGTGCAAGATGGAATTATCAATAGAGTTTGAAATAAAGGAGACAGAATTGCCCACAACTGTAATAAATACAAACGGTATGACAAGACATATTATTACTGTACATGACATAATAGGGGAAAAGAAGTACTGGGCGGGATGAGATCAGGATTTAAATCCAGTTTTCACCACCTACTAGCTGAGGGACTGGGTCAATCAGAGACTCTACAGGAAACAGGTGGTTCAAATAAGAGACTCAGTGAAAGGACTACAGTTGACCCTTAAACAATGCAGGAGTTTGGGAAAATCTACAAATAATTTAGAGTCAACATTTGGTATCCATGGTTCCTCCATACCTGTGGTTCAGCTTCTGTGGATTCAACCAATTGAGCATGGTGTGGTACTGTAGTGTTTATGATTGAAAACATCTGCATATAAATGGACCATTCAGTTCAAACCCCTATCGTTCAGGGGTCACTGTATTTTAGAGGTCTTAAGGAGGGCAGGGGCAGATGATATTAATGCTCTCAGACTCTAGAAACAGTGGAAGCTGATACCACTTACAGGACTGAAAAAAGCAGGGGAAGAGATAGTGAGAATTGGCATCATAGAAGTGGGGGTACCCGACAGGAACCACAGTTGTACAGAGCTACTGTCACTACCAGAGACAGGGTATGAATCTGGGAAAGAGCCGGGAAGAAATACCCCAACCTCCATCCTCATGCTCTCTGATCTTCCGCTGGTGCCTCAAATCAGCTGATCCCTCCAGGAAGCTAACCTGCCTGAGAACCCAATCTTCTGTGGGGGTCTGTCTCCCACATGGAGAATGGCTGTGAGGGAAGGGGTTGGAGAATAACCTTGAACAAGTCACCTCCTCTCTCTAAATTTCAGTTTGCTTATCTGTGCTATAGTGCCTACCATATTAATAGCGGCCCTATAATTTCTAATTTCAACTTTTGATTTTGAAAATTTTCAGTCTCACAAAAAATTTATAAGAAAAGTATTATGCACACAGTGATATAACCTTCACCTAGATTCTCCAGTTGTTAACATTTTGTCACTGTTATTCTATTATTATTATTCTTTCTCTCTGATGACACAAACATATACACATATTTTTGCTGAACCATTTGAGAGTTATTTGCCAACATCCTGAGACTTTATCCCTAAATATTTAAGCAAATATCACCCCCAAAGACATTTCCCTACATAACCCCAATAAGATGATAACACTCAGCAAATTTAAAATTAATGCAATACTATTATCAAATATAGTCTGTATTCAAATTTGCCCAAGTTTCTCAACAATATGCTTTATAGTTGATTTTTTTCAATCAAGGATTACACATTGGATTTTGTTGTCATGCCTCCTTAATCGCCTTTAATCTAAAACAGTTTTTCAGGTTTTTTATTTTTTAATCTTTCAGGATATTAAGGCCAGTTTTGAAGGCCAATTGTTTTGCAGAATGTTCCCACTATGGATTTTTCTAGTTGTTTTTTTCATAATTAGATTCAGTTTAAGCAATTTTGGCAATAATACTACAGAGGTGTGTTCTTCTCAGTGTATTGCATCTGGACTTGATGTCAGAATGCCCATCATAGGCGATCTTCAGTTTGATCACTTGGTTATGGCAGTATATGCTAGATTTATCCATTATTCTCTCCCCTTTGTAATTATCAAGTCATCTACGGGAGGATATATGTGAATATATCTTTTTCACCAACATCCTTTCACCCAGTGGTTTTTACAACTGTTGTTTGGCAGAAATAGTCTCATAAAAGTATAATTAGGGGAGCTGGTAAGAGTTCTTCAAAAGTTTCTACTACGACCCTCATCTCTTTTTATGTTAAACTGTTTTCAGTCATTTATCTATTAAAATGTTTCTAGTGTGCTCATCACGTGCCTCGGCACTGTGAGATTTTTACCTGTGGCTTCATGGTTGCCGAAGCTGATATCTTTAGCTTGGCTCTATCTCCCGTGCTCCAGGTCCACACTGGCGGTTGCTTTTGAGGGTCTCCATGTTACCATCTGTGGATACCTTAAAGTCAACATGCCCGAATGGAACTCATCATCTTCACTTCCTGATCTGCTCTTCTTCTATTTTCTATTCCAGTAAATTACACTTCTGATTTCTCAGTGACTCTGTAATAAAAAGGATTCCTAGTTACTGAGTGGCCAGCCTCCGTAATAGGTCTTTTATATACGTTACATGCATTATCTCATGAAATCCTTACAATAGAATTGCAGCTATTTTCTGAAGGCCATTGGGCCCTTAGCCCCAGATAATCAGCTAGCAAGTCTTCATGCTAGGATTCAAATCCAGTTCTCTTCGGCTTCAAAGCCTTTGCTTTAGTATAGTGATTAACGGCATCATTGACTTCAAATCCTGGCTCTCCTACCAACGATGGGGGATTGGATAAGCCTCCCTAACTCTCAGTGCTTTGGTTTTCTCCTCTATAAATTGGGAAAGCCAATAATCCCTGCCTTGTAGGATGGTTTGGAGACTTGAATCAGATAAAACTTGACAAACATTTGAACAATTCCTGGCAGCACCAAGCCATAAATCTGGTGTCACCCTAAACTCCTCCATCCACTCACCGCTTGAGGATTAGCCCCCTTAAGGACCTTGTCACCACTGCTGTCATTGCCTTAGTTTAGACCTGGAGTTGGCGGACCATGGCCGGGAGGCCAAATCCAGCCTCCATCTGTTTTTGTAAATATTTCTTTTTTAAATTGAGGTATGATTGACATTAAAAATAAGGTGTTATTGGAACACAGCCATGCCCATTCATTTACATATTTTTTGTGATTGCTTTCACCTTACCACAGCAGCGTTGAGTAGTGGCAACAGAGACCACTCTGTTTGGCCTGCAAAGCCCAATATATTTACGGTCTGACCCTTTACAGAAAACAGTCTGCCAATTCCTGGTTGCCCGTGGTATTGCAATAGTCTCCTCCTTGGTTTTCCTGGTTATATCTTCTTCCTCCTTGAACTCATCCTCACCACCCCTCCTCCTGTGCCGGGGGAATCTCCCTAAAATGTGCACTTAATCATGCCTATTTGCTCCTTGTGGTGCATTGAAGACTATGAACCTAGTCTTCCACGTACTGGTGAGCCCCATACCAGGCTTGTTCTCTGGCTGTAATGAATGCTTTACGCCCTTTCTAGCCTGGCACACGCTGTTTTTCTGGTCTGAATACCCGCCTCTTGCCCCTTGTCCTTAACAAAAAGTTCAGCGTTTACTTCTCTGAGAAGCGCTTTCTGACTTCCACAGGCTGAACCAACGGCTTCTGCCCCTTTATGTCTTCAGCAATACTTCAACTTCAGCATTTATCCACAATTTCATGATCATGGGTTTAAATGTCTGCCTTGTGACTGCTGTGACTTCCTCTCAAGATTAGGAACATACATTTTTCACTTTTGTATCTGGATGTGGCCCTTAGTAAGCATCCTTTAAGTTGTTACTGCCTGCTGGCATTTCAGGTGGGGTTTGAAGGCTTACATAAGGAGTTTGAGGAGTATGGGAAAGAGGCAGGTCAGGAGAGAGGCGGCACCTTAGCTAACAGCTGGAGGATAAAACAAGATAATGGGAGGGAGAAGGCAGTAGGAACAGTGTTGGTTAAGCTGATGAAACCTGAAAGAGGTGTGTTGGAGAGATGACGAGCAGAGGAAGGGGGCATGTGAGGGGATGCTGGAAGATAGTCTAAGAAGAGAGGCATCAGGCCCGTACTCTACACAGCCTCCTTTGCTGTGCTGAGGAGTCTGGACAAGGGAAACCATGAAGGGCTGCAGGAAGCAAACACCATACTGTCTGCTCGTGTGTCGGTCTTCTGGAAGTCCTTTGAGGCATTGACTACGTTTTTGTTTTGTCGTCATTCAGTCCTACACGCACACAATTTCTGGCATATCATAGGCTCTCAATAAATGTGTCTTTCATCGTTGAAATATAAGAAAAGTCCTCAGTTTTAAGAGTGGGTTAGTCTCCGGTGCTTAGTATTTTCTTAGAGGATGAACATTTGCTCTGTCTGCGACTTTCATAAATTTAAGAACTTCAGTCATATTTCACCTCAGTCCTTGGATTTTCTGCTTGAAAACTTCCCATTAGGGAAAAAGAGTCTATTCTCTGATGGAAGGTTTGAATTTCTTGGATCTTTTTCATTGACTTTTTCTTCTTCAATTCTGTTTTGTCTTTGTTGAGTTAAGGCTTTCAAGAGCACCAGAATTCTTTCCTGCAAAACCAGAGGCAGATCAATTTATTTCTTGTGATTTTGGTATTTTCTCCTAACAAAAATCTTAAATGGAGCTAGGAGAAATAAACTCTGATTTGCAAAGCGTGCCAAAGATGGTGCCTCACAGGTGGAATGCAAAGCCTTCATTAATGATGCCCAGACTAATTCTGTCTTTAGCACAAGGGCTCAGAGAGCCAGCAACTTAGCAGGTTTTTGTTGGGGGGGGGGGGGGCGCGTGTCAATGAAATAAATTGGGTCGTAAAATATGCCTAGACAATTGGATAAAACTGGGACTTAGGGGGACTCCTGCACTCCAGGGAATTCTCCAAGTCTCCACTTATCCTCAAAATGAACAAGAAGCTTCAGTTTCAAATTGAGTGCATTTTCCATCCATGGATTGGCTTGTTTTGTTCAGTTTTACTTTGAGTATTTGAGGTTATCTTTTCGACGTAACAGCTAAACCCACGGCTTCCTTTCTCGTAAAACCAAAACAAAAAGGCTAGAAATTCAGGTGCCTTCTGCGTGTGCACATGTGTAGTACATACCTGGGATCAAAGCCTGCTATATAAAGTCCTTGATTCTGTGTGGGTTCAAACACATTTCAAAGCTTCAGGATCCTGAAAGTTTTCGCTCTGCTTCCTGAAGACCTGAACACCGCTCCCATAAAGCCATGGCTTGCTTTGGCTTCCAGAGTCATGGGGCTCGGCTGGACCTGGCTTCTGGGACCTGGCCCTGTACTGCCCTGTTTTCTCTTCTCTTCATCCCCGTTTTCTCTAAAGGTGAGTGAGGTTATTGGAGCATGGAGGTGGAGGAGGTGTTTCTCCCACCTGGGTTTCATTCCTTTTAGCAGTCAAGGGCAGTGATTTATAGCAAATCCAGAAGCTAAAGGTGAGACTCCAATCTCCTGGCGTGGGCAGCTCTGTATTCCAAGGCAGGCAGGGGACAGCTGACAGCAGCAAATCAGCAGAGACACAGCTCTTAGCAGTTTGCTGGGCATGGAGTGGGAGCTTAATGAATACGTGTGAGTTGGTCTGGGAGACATGAGCAATTTCAGACACTTCTATAAGATGAGAAGAAAATACTGCAAAGTTAAGTGATTTAAGAGAGCAAAGATACCCACCATCCTAAATCCATTTGGGCTTGGAATCAGGGTTAGCTCAAGATTTCCCTTTTTCTGACTTACTTCACTCTGGATGACAGACTCTAGGTCCATCCACCTCATTACAAATAGCTCAATTTCGTTTCTTTTTATGGCTGAGTAATATTCCATTGTATATGTGTGCCACATCTTAAGTCAGAAAGAGAAAGACAAATACTGTATGCTAACACATATATATGGAATTTAAGAAAAAAAGTATGTCATGAAGACCCTAGGGGTAAGATGGGAATAAAGACACAGACCTACTAGAGAACGGACTTGAGGATATAGGGAGGGGGAAGGGTAAGCTGGGACAAAATGAGAGAGTGGCATGGACATATATACACTACCAAACGTAAAATAGATAGCTAGTGGGAAGCAGCCGCATAGCACAGGGAGATCAGCTCGGTGCTTTGTGACCACCTAGAGGGGTGGGATAGGGAGGGTGGGAGGGAGGGAGATGCAAGAGGGAAGAGATATGGGAACATATGTATATGTATAACTGATTCACTTTGTTATAAAGCAGAAACTAGCACACCATTGTAAAGCAATTATACTCCAATAAAGATGTAAAAAAAAAAAATTTCCCTTTTTGAAGAACACTGATTTAGGCAAATTATGGGAAGTTTCTTTCCTACCCAATTCAAGGTTTTAAGGTCCTCTGATCCACTTTTATAAACGGGTTAGCCTGCTTGTTTAAACTTTCAGCATTCTTTACTCAATGCAGGGTTTTAGGGTCCTCTTAATCAACTCTATAGTTAGCTAATTATTTAAAAAAATGAAAGCAATTTGAAGTAGTAAAACAAACAAACAAAAATAAATGAAATAAAGAAAGGAAGAAAGAACAAAAGAATGAAAGAAAGAAAGAGCCATAGGTCTGTTTGGGATAAGATACTTAATTGCCTCCTGACTTATCTCTGGACTTTAGGTGCAGATTCCCCAGTTTTCAGATGAAATAAAGCTCTTTAGAGGTTGATACTTGGTCTGTTACAATGGTGTGAAATGGTGACTGTTTTGCTAGAAGGTGAATTTCAACCTTCTCTCCCTCTAGAGCTTCTCGGTTGAAAAACCAAGTGGTTTATACAAAGTAGGTGCTCAAAAGATATTTGATTATTAATTTTTACTGTATAAGAAATATTCATACACATTTTCTTATTTTACATGTTTTGAACATGTACAGTTAAATACCAGAGAAATAACCAAATTTACTTTTAAGAAAATTTATCTCAACCTGTAACTGGGATCCTCCCATGGTGGATATTGGAAAATTGTGTAACCAGATTTAGTGGTGATAATTGGGAGCTTGCCTCGGCGGAGGGCAGGAAACTTGGTCTTCTTTAAGCTTAGAGTCAACACAACAAATGGGCAGGATATAATGATTAATGCACAAAAAACCTTTAATACAGGGCTGAATTTGATTAAGTACTGCGGTGGAGTTATAATAGTACAAAGGAGGCTCAGAGGGCATCTCTGATAGACAGAAATGAGGGCTGGGAAAGAAAACTACTGTCTAGCCAACCAGGGCTGCTGGATTAACCATGGCAATGGCTGCTGCCGTATTATTCTCTCTTCTAAGGGCACAGGTTGCCTACTACAGGTGCTTGGGGGAAAGGACTAATGTTTTCAGAATAAAGTGATTTATGCACAGGAAGAGGTGTCCTGGAAGCTCAGATTGGAGTGGTAAGATAGGATCAGATTATGGAGACACAGTGAAAGTTATTTGTTTTTGTAATCAGTGGTATATAAGGCATGAAAGGGTTTGAACAGAAGGAGTGACATGGTTCAATTCAAGTTTTGAGTGTCACTTGTGTGATTGATTGACTAGAGAGGGGCCCAGTTAGTTACAGGAAAGTAATTTGTCATGAAGCCACTATTTTTTAGACGATGTGAGCCCTTTTGTATGGAGAGCTGGCCTCCCTTCTCCTGTAGAAGCCAGAGGGAAAAGAACAAAGGAACACAAGGTGTTCGAGTGAAGGAGAGAGGGCGGTGGAAGAGGTGATGACAGTGGCAGGGGAAGCCCATAGAAGTGAACAGCAGGGTTGCCTCAGCCTACAGAGGAAATGACCCGGTGCCCTCGGCCCGGTGGCTTCCTTCATCAAGCAGCATCCCTCATTCTCTGGTGATAATGCAGGGAAGGGGGTGGCCGGCACCATGGGCCAAGACTCAGCTCCTCGTGGGCGATTGAGGTCCAGGGCCAGATCAATGCGGGTAGAGGTTATTAAGGTATACTTTGAGGGATAAAGCAAGACTCTATACCTCAGCCTCCAAACTTTCCCCTACTACTCTTATAGGTCCCACAGCTCTATCATAACCTTAGAATACCAGAGTGGGAAGGCACTCTGATGTCATCTGATCTAATCCCCTCTTTTGCATGTGAGGGAAAAATGAAGTCCACGGGGGAGGCATGGCTTTCCCCAAATCACCTATTTCACGGTAGAGCCAGCCCTTCTCTTTGTCACATCAGTGTTCTTCATGCCACAGACAACTGCCGTCAAGGCACTGTTTTCCAATAAGGAAGCACCTTCATGGAGAGTAACCGGAAGACAGTGGCGAGATGGAGGGGGTGCTGGGGTGGGTGGAGAAGGAAAGGGGTAGGGGAGGGTGATGGGTTTGTTGATGGGGGGAGAGAAAGGCTGACAGGTGAAACTGGAGGGGGTCATCAAAGATCAACTTTGCCCGGCCTGAGGGTTTTGCCTGGACCTGGTCATGGGCAAGCATGAGTTCACTGAGTTCCCTTTGGTTTTCCTGCTTTAGGGGTGCACGTGGCCCAGCCCGCAGTGGTGCTGGCCAGCAGTCGGGGTGTTGCCAGCTTCGTCTGTGAATATGGGTCGTCAGGCAAAGCCGCCGAGGTCCGGGTGACGGTGTTGCGGAAGGCAGGCGGCCAGCTGAACGAAGTCTGCGCCGCGACCTACATGGTGGAAGATGAGCTGACCTTCCTGGAGGATTCCACTTGCACTGGCACCTCCAGTGGGAACAAAGTGAACCTCACCATCCAAGGGCTGAGGGCCACGGACTCCGGGCTCTACATCTGCAAGGTGGAGCTCATGTACCCGCCACCCTACTATGTGGGCATGGGCAATGGAACCCAAATTTACGTCATTGGTGAGCATCATTGACAACGCCTTTTGCATTGCTGTCTCTTCTCTGTGTGCAAACAGTTTTGCTCCTTGATTTCAGGTCGTTCATGTTTAGGATTGTGGGAATTCTCTTTAAGAGTTCTCTGGCATACTGCATGAGTCCTACTCAGTATGGGTGGCGAGGCAAACGGCATTCTGTTTATAAAATAAAAGGAGCTGGAGAAGGTGTGTTTCCTCCCGGCAGGTTGGGGCACTCACACTGGAGTGATACCCAGCATGAAATTTGGTCTTGGCCTTTGATCTGAAACTCTTGGCAAAGTAGCCCCAACAGTCAGACTTACCTGGGGTCCAGCGATTCCAATTAGGGGTGGACATCAAGGTCTGGAAGCTTGAACTTTTTCCTTCTCTCACCAGTTGGGGGAGTACCGCCCTAGAATTTAGAAAGCATCTCAGGGAAATTCTGCTTTGTTCTCTGTTGCAGATCCAGAACCATGCCCGGATTCTGATTTTCTCCTCTGGATCCTGGCAGCAGTTAGTTCAGGGTTGTTTTTCTACAGCTTCCTCATCACAGCTGTTTCTTTGAGCAAAATGGTGAGTGCCGTGCTGCTAACGCGCCATCCTTGGTCAGAATACCTTTAGTGATAACAACTGGCCAAATGATGCTGTTGAGTCGCGTTTTCTTGAGATGAAGCGATAAATGAAGAAGAGGAAGGACAGTGGTAAAGAACACACTAGAACCCTTGGCATTGGCCTTTGAGGTTTCAGGATGACTAATATTTTATATGAGTGTGTTTGACATTGAATGTTTGTGTGATTTTGCATAGGGTTTCATTTTGAGTAGCTGAACAACACGGGACAGCTGTTTTGCTCTTTATCTTCATGACAATTGTACTTAAGTTAATAACCCTGAAACATTAGGTTGGGCAAAATGCTGCTGGAGAAGACCGCAGGGGTGGTTAATGTTCCTCTACTTGAGCCTTCCTTGACCAAGCTGTAGGCATCCACGTAACACATGCCCAGGGCGCCCTGTTACCCATTCTGCTCGACTGGCAAGCCTCATGCTCTTCTCCAGCCCAGTAAATGAGAACCCAGTTTTCATTTACTACAGTTGTTGTAGAAGAAGCAGAGGTATGGAATCCGGACTTCTGTCAAGATTTCTGACAGTCGCTTGCAACCTCCTTTGCCTGAGGCTGGCTTTGCCATTCACAAACCTCTCCCTCACCTTCCTCTCTCCCTCCCCTTCTCTTCCACTCCCTTACTCCCTCCCTCTCTCCCTCCCGCGCCCCTACACTGTATTCCAGGATCCTCTACTCGGTCTGTTCTGTCGCTGTAGCTTCTTTCTACCTCATTTGCTACAAAGTGCCACACTAACTAGTAGACTAGACCTCAATTTACTGAGGTGATAAAAACTGGGAACTAATGTGGACCGAGAAAAAAAGTAATAAAGAGTATGTGAGGAGTAGAGATGAGACATACTGCTCCCAAAGAGAATAATTGAAGTTTATTATCTTATCCAGCTCATCCCCTCACAAACAAGACCCAGTCAATTATCATAGGCATTTTGGGTGTTCTTTCTAAAGCTTTCTTGAAGTTTCTTTCTGCTATCTCCCAGTCAGGGAAAATGATTTCTATCTTAAGTCAATAGCACAGAGTTATTTACCCGAAATGAAATTTAATGGCTGAATCAAGAAAATCTCCTGGGGCTTATAATTCTGTATGTTGTGAACATCTATTTTTCAGTGGGGTAGGAACCCAGTATTTGTTGAATCCTATTATAGTTAGAAGTAGCTTCTGTATTCCTCGATACTAATTACTGTTTCTTTTAATGTTTGGCAGCTAAAGAAAAGAAGCCCTCTTACTACAGGGGTCTATGTGAAAATGCCCCCAACAGAGCCAGAATGTGAAAAGCAATTTCAACCTTATTTCATTCCCATCAATTGAGAGACCATTATGAAGAAAAAAGACTATGTTCCAATTTGTAAGAGCTGAGGCAATTCTAACTTTTTGCTATCCAGCTATTTTTGTTTGTTTGTGTATTTTGGGGGATTCATCTCTCTTTAATATAAAGCAGGATGCAGAACCCAAATTAAGCGTACTACAATTTAAAACAAAGGAGCAGAAAAACAGAGCCGGGCTGGTTCTGTCACATCTGATCCAATTTTAGTAAAAGCCTCACTTGGGAGCAATATTGGGTTGCAGCATTACAATGTGGAGTCAAGACGTAAGTTAGGGAATGGTACAGTCCCAAGGAAGCAAAGGAAGAATTAAGAGCGAGGATGGTATTGTATACATCTTGTATTTACCTGTGAGAAGTTTATAGCTGAAATGATGTTTTCAAGTAAAATTTTTATGCTGTGTTATTTTTCTTAACAAATATATAATTACATAAAGACTTAAAAAATACCCACATGGCTATATTTTAGCCAGTGATTCCAAAGGTTGTATTGTAACAATATGTATTTTTTATTTGATAGTATTGTGCATGGGGGCCACATGTGCTTTTGTGTATTTGCTGGTAGTTTGAGTATAAACACTATATGGCAGTGTCTTCCCACCATGGGTTCAGGGGAAGTTTTGTGGAGAGACTCAGGACACTAATACACCAGGTAGAGTACAAGGTCACTTGCCAACTGGCTTGGAAACTGGATAAGGTCATAGCTCATTCTTGCAGACATGTTGGGCTGAGTTGGTGTTGACATGGGCTTTGGGCTTTTATGCCAACTCCTTCCACTGGTTTGCAAGGAAGCCAAAGCTGGTGGTATCTGAGTTAACTTGATAGAGCACCATCATCGTCGAGAAAATGGCTCATTTCAGGAGTCTTGTGGGTATGAACCTCAAGGAAGCTCCAGTTCCATGGGGGCCCCAATTCCTTACACATGGTTAATGCCACAGACAGAAAAAAGCAGCAGATGGCAGAACAGGATGCGAGGGTCTCTGAAAACTAACACTGTTGGTGTTTTTTAACTTGATATTTTCCGTGAAAATGCAACAACATGTATAATATTTTTAATTAAATAAAAATCTGTGGTGGTTGTTTTCCAGAGTTGTTTTTGACATTCCTTATATGTGAGTATTGCTTGAGTTTATTTTTGATTGATTCATTTAGCAGTTGGTTGAGTCTCCAATATTAGGAATACTGAGAACAAATCGAAAAAACCCAAAAGTGGGGCTTCCCTGGTGGCGCAGTGGTTGAGAGTCCGCCTGCCGATGCAGAGGACACGGGTTCGTGCCCCGGTCCGGGAGGATCCCACATGTCACGGAGCGGCTGGGCCCGTGAGCCATGGCCGCTGAGCCTGCGCATCCGGAGAAAACCCAAAAGGGCAAATAATGCTTCATGAATCAGCCCTTTACCTGCAAGCCATTCTTGGAAGGAATTCATCCTCTGTCCTTTTGATTGCTTCCCCAATGTTTGGGATATGAAGCGATCTACCACAGCTACAGCAGCCCTTGATAAATCACACAGCGTTCTCTTTAGCACAGGTTCTTTACCCCCTCTTTCTCACCCAGACCTTTCCCGGCTCTACTCGAGCACTGATTACAGTTGCCATGGCAACTCCAGTGTTGTTAACCGTGGTCCTTGCAGCCATTTTGCTCTGCTTCTGTGGTAAACGGAGCTTTCCCTTGCAGCTTCCAGAGGGACTCTTTCACAAATGTGAGGAACACATCCCCTCTGTGATTCTTGGTTAACCAGTATGTAGCCTCAGCCTGCTTGGTTTCCATTTAAGGTTTCTCATTCTTGACCTCCATATCCTGTTGTTGTTCTGTGCAACGATTCTCAGGGTGGCCAGGGATCACCTATAATTGAATCAACTGGGTCACTTCCTAAAAAGGCTGATTCAAGTGCTTAACCTCAGATGCACTGAATCAGAACCTTTGGGCGATGGGGCCAGGAGTTTGCTCTCTCAACAGCCTCCTCAGTGCTTCTTAGACCCCTCAGGTTTTGAGGATCGCTCTTTAGGCAGCTCTCTCTCTTGCTCACTAAAACTCTCTCTTTTTTTGCAAGCAAGTGCAAACAAACAAATGAGAGAGCACATAGTGAGCATTCCAGAAAGACGTGTTAAATAAAAAGGAATAGGTCTTCCAAATATGGTAATGGCACTTACCTAGAATAAATTCCTACTATGCAGAAGACTGTTTCTCTTGATTTCTTGGTCTTTGGTTGGAAGCCATGAAGAAACACACAGTTTATGAGGCCCAACGGATAGTCTGATACCATTTCTGCTCCTCCAAATGTCTTTAGAGAGATCATTCTTCTCCATAGTTGATGGAAGATCTAAATGACAGAGGGCCTTAGGCAAGGGATCTCTCGGGCATCTTTCAGACACCATTAGACAATGGACTACTTTACATAAGCTTAATATCTCCTCTACTATTATCTGAAATTCTACCATTAGCTATTCATTGAGTTAAGCATTGCCTACTTCACTCAGTCTCAATTTTGAAGACATATTAATAAAATACTCTTTGGCTCCAAAGAGTTTCTCCTATGATAGAAGAAATAGGCAAGAAAGACTGTTACCTGAAAGGGTAGAAAGCAAATATGGGGTAGGGGTGTCTGGGGACCAAAGGAAAGCCTTTTCTAATCCCTAACTTGTTTATGAGGGTAGATCCATTATCTGCAATACTCAGAGAGATGCAGAGCCCTCAAATCAGGGGACCAATGGCTTTATGGCCTTCCAGCCTTCATCACCATCACCATCTCTGGGATCAAGGTCTCGGGGAAGCCCCAAGACTCCAGTCATCATCAAATGAGGCTTGGTCCACCGTGGCTGAGAGGGGAGGGGTCCACTGTGCCCCTCCTCCCGGAACCACTAGTCTCAGGTAGGAATGTGGAGACAAGAGGAGCAAGAGAGAGCTACCAGGGGTTGCCTGGGTCAACCCCAACTCTTACCACTTCCCAGCACATAACTCTGCTCATCTCCCTTATTCCAATATGGTACTCTCATTTCTGCCACTTCCTGTTTCCCTATTCATCACCCCCAAATATCTTTATCCCTCATTTTTGCATCCATAAACACTCATTTCAAATTCTGCCTCGTCCATCGGATGTGCTGACACTTCAAGCCTACATGGATTTTTCTCTTCTGTTTTGCAGCTATATTCAGTTTCATCTCTAATAATTTCAGATGCCTATGTCTTTTCTCCCTAGCTTGGATGGAAACTTCTCCAAAATAAGCATCACCACAACTTTAGGCACACAATAGATGCTCAAACAAGTGTACTGGAGAGTTGGGGAGCTAGGACATCTGGGACAATGAGAGGGACATGTCTTCTATGCAGAACATGGCTGTTTTGAACGGGGAATGACCCCAGTTTACAAGGAGCATGCTATGGTTGTATCTTCCCATTGGCTGTATTACTGGTTTCCATTTTCCCCATTTTTGAGTGAGAAGTTCTAATGCTTCAAGCCTAGTCTCCTTCCTCTTTGACCAAGAGAATTATGTGTAGGTCAATCTGTTTCTCAGCTTAAACCTTTAAGACTGGAATGTGAGCTCCCTCTGACTCCCTTGCCCCACGCATTCTACTTTTATCTCAATCTAATCTTCCAATATTTTTGTTGGGGGGAGGGAGATGAATTCTCATTTTTATTCTCTGTATTTTGAACTGTGGGTTGCTGCTAAAACTGACTATATTTTTATACTGAGTCTGTACCTTCTTTTGTCTCCACAGTTGATACACACTTACTTTACTTGGGACCAAAACTTGCAAACTGTTGATGTCACTGTGCTGTTAATTGGAGCAAAGCCAGTTGGGAAGGTTAAGAATTTAGACACTTAAGTTATTGTTTTTGGAGTTCTCAAAGTGAAGGAGAAGCTGGCTTTCTCTGGAAAGCTATTTCTATTGTTTTACTTCTCTTTTGCCCCTGGTTAGAGCGATGATTTAGGTGGCTTAGAGACCTTGTTTTATTTTATAAATTTGTTTTTCTCAGCTCAGGTCAATTTTCTTTGTTCAGACCAGAAAGATAACACATCCTATTGGTGGAGACGGAGGAAAGGTTCTTTACTTCCTCTTGTATGTGTCCTTGTCTACAGGCTGGGATAGGAGTTAATAGGTAGGTTTGCCAGATTCAGCCAAAAGAAAAAAAAACAAAAAACCCCAAAACCCAAAAACAGGATGCCCTGTGTTTGATCTGACAACCTTATCAGCAGGAAACTTTGTACCTTAATATGGTGTGAATAAAAAGTGTTCTGGAGACCCCTCCCCAGGAGTTTCTGGGCAGGAACAGCCTGAGACCGGGGCTGCTGCTTCAGTACTAACACAATCTCCTGTTCTCACTCCCGGGCACATGTTAGAAGGATGCTCAGTATCGCCGGGGCTAATGGGTCCTACAAAGGTGGCAGTTACTTATCTATTACATTTTTTTCTTAGAAGTCAACTCACTTTGTTCTATACGGTGAGGAGTCTGACATTCAGACCCTTCTTGGAAATCTTTGCTTTCCTGGGTGCACTCTATTACAGCTGTTCTTACACTGATTGTGCACAATAATTATCTGGAACATTTGGGAAAAATGTGGATTGAGGTGCCTCAGATCCAGAGCTTCTCGTTTATAAGATCTGAGGCAGGGCCTGAGGGATTTTAATTCTTCAGTGAGTCTCTGAGATCTTACTCTCAGATGCCCTGGTCTAACTCAGGATCCTACCATCACAGATGACTAGGACTGGAGAAAGGACCTTGGAAATTATTTTCACATTTTAGAAGAAAACGAGCCTCAGAGACATTAGGAAACTTGTCCAAGGTAACAAAGTCTGAGAAGACAGGTCTGTAGATTTTCACATCAGGGCTGTGCTGTGGGTGACACTTTGAGCCTTTCTGCTCAGGGACTGTCCTTTTTAGGCTGCTTCTGGAACGTCACTGCCATCACCCCAGGCTACCTCTAGAAAACCTGTTTTTCCTCTCACCTCCACCCCAGCTGCTCTGTTAAGTCTCAGTGTTACCATTACTACTCTTTCCTGCCTGATGTTGGCTCCATCGTTTCTATCTCTGCCTTAACCTTCCGGGGCCCTAGCAAGAGGGTCTCGGGTGATTCTCAGCAGTCCGGCAGAAGGATGCAGCAGAAGAGAAGACGAAACAACTGCTGCCAACCTTCTGTCAGCAAAGCCTATGGTGCCCTGAGAAAGCTTCTCAATTCTGCTGGAAGTCATGGAACAACCCAGTGAAACGATACATGTTCTTTTTTTTGTATCACATGTTATCAGGTTACCATAGCAACCAACCTTGCTTTAAAAACATGATATTAGTCACCCAAAGTGATATTATCTATTTGAACAAAAAGAGGAGGCTCTCTCTGGGAGAAACTGTAGGAAATATATTTCAGGAGGTGACTTCAAATTTTAGAATGCAACGAAAGTGATGTCTCACGAATCACACTTTTCTGAGGACATTGCCTTTTTCTTCTTGCTTCATCTTGACAACATTTTAGTTTGTTCTGTAGTCCTCACATTGTTATTTTCTTTAATGCATTGAACACGAGCCTTGCTTTCCTTCCTTGCAGTTAACTGCAAGTCAGACATAGTCTTTAGTCTCCCGTGAGCATCTGTTTGCCCCTGGCACATCAAAGTTATCCTTAACCATGACTATAAGGACAGGAAGCTTGGATTTGTGAATGAAGACTAGCATTCTCTAGTGTTGCTTTCCTATTGAGGAAGCCGCCATGCTGGATACAGTTCATGAGCTCCTTATTTGGATTGAAGAGGGAAAGGAAACCAACTCATGAAGGCTTCAACACTGCATGGGTGTAAATTAGCTAAAGTAATCCTCACAAGATCCCTGGAGAAGAGATACTGACAACACCCGCATTTTACAGTTGAGGAAGCTGAGGTTTTAGGGGGTTTTATTACTTGCCAATCTCACACAGCTAGTAAGTGGCAGAGTCAGGATTAGAACTGATGTTGAATTCCAAAGCTCAGGCTCTTTTCAGATGACCACGTCTGAATTCTGGGGGTCTATCTGCAAAAGGAAAAGGGTAAAATGGGAAGTGAATGGGGACCAAAGTGCTAGAGAAGCAAAGCGTGTTTCATGGGGGTTACGCATGAGG